CAACATTTAGGGCATCCAGTGCCACATCAGCCCTTCTGTTCGGGTCTGTTACTGCAAATATCCCAGGGCAGGATTTGTGCAGAGACGCCAACGCTGCGTTGAGCTGCCAACGGAGCCTCGTTTGGCACGGACGTACCGGCAACTGCCTCTCGTGGTGACTTACACCCTTCCAGCAGCGCCTGAGCTACGGCTGGTGGCTGTGGAGGTCACCCAGGTGGGAAGGCAACGGGATCAAAACAAAGCTGCTGCCAAGCCCGCGGCCCCCGGCGGGCACAGGCACCAGGGTGAAGGAGGAGGTGAGTGAAACGGGAGGTGAGAGCTGTGCTGGGGGAGGTCATCAGGTTTCTCTTTTCATCCTGTGTGGAATCAGGGCGTTGGCAGAAGTGCTCAGCCACGGCCAGCGGCCAATGCTGATGACTTCTGGAGCATGTCGGTGAACCCCAGCGGCTTCCCAAGGGGTCTCTGCCTTCTGCGCAGGCGTTGGGATCCAGCCTGCAGCTATGGCAGGGCCTGGCAAGCAAAGAGCCTTTGTGTCCAGCTCAGGTGAGGACTCAGCCCTCACCAGGTACTCCAGCAAGCAGGGTTAACCCCGAAATGCCCACGATTTCCCTTCAAGAGGATGACCAAAGCCAGGGCAGCTGCTGACCAGCCCTTTATCCTCCAGCACAACTTCTGTTCGCTACAACTGCTTATACCTGCAGAAAGCCCTGGAGCTTCCCTGTTCTTTTTGATTTTTATCACTTGTTCCTTCGTTGCTGAACTGGGACGTATCTTTAAAATCCATCTTGTCATTGTGCCCTCTTAGTTTAGGAAGGACACCCTTCACCTCCATGTTACGTACCCCAACACCCCCCTTTTTGCCCAGAGGGCAGACAGAAGCCCCTGAGGCAACACCAGTTGCTCTGGGGTGTATCTCCATCCTGCCTACGGCTGGATTTGAGTAAAACCCAGAGGTTTCAGGCTTCATTGTGCCCAGCATCACCAGGAGACAGAAATGAAGGAAACAGTTTTGTTATGCCAGGGTACGGCACCGTGAGCGGGCAGGACCCTTCCCTACCTCCAGTGTCTCGGTCCCAGACCTTCACGGTGCTGTCGTACGAGGACGTGGCGATGCTGGGGGCGAGCGCCGGGCCCCGCGGAAGGAAGACGCACGAGGTCGTGGTCTGGAAATGCCCTTTGTACTCGTGCACGTGGTTCCGCGTCTGCCGCAGGTCCCACAGCTGGAAGGCAACAGGTTCAGAGCTCCAGCTGGTGCTGCCACGTACCAACGGGGAGCTCTTTGAGAAAGGAAGAGGGGTTTGGATAAAGACCTCCTCGCCAGTCCTCAGCCTACAACCCCTACTGCCTTTGTCCTTGCTCATGCACACAGCACTGGAGAACTTCAGACCCTGACGGGCTTTCACCATCGGTGTCTATTCAGCTGACGGGCTGAGGCCGTGCGGGCCGATAACCGCGTCTCCAGCCCGCTCCCGGCCTCAGCCCTGCTCTCCCTGGGACGGGATGGTCTCATCCTCTCGATGTGCACACACAGGGCTGGGAACCTGCAGGACTGAATCTCTGATTTGGAAACACCTGGAGCAAGGGGTCCCTTACAGGCTTTCTGCAAGAACCTCGTGCTCCTCCATGCCGTTACGGAAACAAAACCCCAGTGCTCTAATCAGGAAGAACATCTGCTCAGATATTCTCTGAGCAGAAGACTCACCAAAGGGACAGGCAGGAAGACACTAAGCTCTGGCCCTGGCCGGTGATGCCAGCACGAGGCCAATGCAGTGGCAGCAAGATCTTTGGAACACTGAGCTGCTGCCTGCTGCTGTGTGCTGTGGGCGGTGGAGAAAAAACCCAGAAGAAGCAGGACTTGCTGCCCAGCAAACCCGCTCCCCCGGGCGGAGCCGCTGCTGCTGCTGAGGCAGTACCGCCCGTCCTGGCTCACGTCGCAGCACGTCTGAATATGGCGCTTGGCTGGGAACGTGTGTGCCACCTGCAGCTCCCGGCTGTCCCAGATCCTGGAAGGCACCGGAGTGGGGCAGGGGGACTCGTCACCACCACGCCAGGCTTCCCCTCCCGTGCCCTCCTGCCCGCCCTCACTGCACCCTCGTGCTCTGCCCTTGCTGCCATCCCTCGTGGGCAGTCCCCCGCCTTCCTCCCAGCAAGTCGAACTCCCAAAGCCCTCAGTGCATCCTTGTATTTCTCCGTTGCGGATCGGTCTGTAGCCAGAGCAGCTGTGCTGAGCTCTCGTTTTTATAAATTCTCCTTTTTACCTGCAGTTGCCACCCAGTGCTGCTTACACAGAATCACAGAACCATGGAACGGTTTGGGTTGGAAGGGACCTTCAAGATCACCCAGTTCCAACCCCCCTGCCATGGGCAGGGACACCCTCCATTACACCAGGTTGCCCAAAGCCCCATCCAACCTGGCCTTGAACA